GTAATGTAGGGCTAGGGGTGTAGCTCAGTGGTAAAGTTCTTGCCCTGGGTTTAATACCTAGCACCTCAGAAAGGAAGGGAGGGAGGGAGGGGGGAAAGACAAAGAGAAATGTCTGATCAGCCTGGAATTCCAGGTTGCCTAATGCTTCTTTATCCATTGTATTAAAAGAGGAAAATAAACTGTAAAAATCAGCAAGCTTTGCCAGGCATGTAATACCAAACATAATCAATCAAATCCTCTTTTCCTTAAAAGGTGTATGAGTGTCATTGGCACATAGTAAGAAAAGGAACGTAACCTATTTGGCAAGAGATAACTTGCATTCTCACCACAATAGCAACCTTATTGGACTTAAGCCAATCAGAGAGCCTGAATGTAGTCTCTGGACTATGCTCTCAAAGCCTGTCTCCTCGCCCTTCCCCAGAGCTTCCACTTCTGACAAGATTCTCTCCAGGCAAGACATTTCCTGCTTCAAACTTTTTCTCAGCAGTAAGTACCTAGATGTTAAGAACTTCTTTACACACTTCAGTTAGTACTTGGGTGGGAGTGCGGAGGTGTCTTTTAAAGGTGTTTTGTCTTGTTCTTAACATAGTTTGAGATTCAGCTGAAAGACCAGTGTTTTCTTTTCTAATTACTTTAAATTCATAAATTTTGTCAAAGTCAATAATTATGGGGAAAGTGTTTTGCTTTTGAAACTAATGTAAAATCTCAGCCTGGAACCTTCTTCAAACACTGCTTTGGGCAGGAAATGCATTTTAAGTGTGGTTATTTACTAACTTGATCATTCCTTTCTTTATTCAATGAATTTTTATGGGTGCTTGTCCAGTTTCCTGTGCATTAAAAAGTTTTATTTTCTCCACTTAAAATATTTAGCAAAACTAGATTTTCTTGTAGATTACATTTGTGAATTGTGAGAATTCTTGAATTCTCATTATGAAAGAAAAACTAATATTGAAATTTAATTCTGAAATTCATTGATATTCATAAAGAGAAATGCATCCTTTCACATCTCACATTTGACAGCTCATGAGATGAGAAATCATTATGAATTGGGATAGTTTCAGTCAAATCAAAAAATAAATTTTAATACCAATATACTGTAGAAAAAAGAAAATCTAAGTAATATAACTAGAGCCTGGGTTAATCATTATTAATAAGATGTTACTGTAATTAATGCATTATAATAGAACATTATTTTATTAAGCTAGTGGCCTGTCCTTCTAAAGAGTGGGGTGTTCTTAAGTAGGGGAAATAGGTAAGAGGTTGATCTGAGTCAAATCCTACATTTCCTGGTAGAGGCCATTTCATGAAAAGGACTTTCTAAAGAAAGACATTGTCTTTCACTCTTCAGAGCTTGTCCTCTACAATCCTCATTTCTGTTCCCCTTGACTCCTCTTTTCCTTTTTTCGTGAGTGGCTCTCACCAACTTTATTACTCTTTTCTGTTTCCAAGATGAGGTCTGTAACCAAGCAAAGCTCTGAGCAGAGCTGCTGATGTCTCCTTATCCCATAACGAACCTATCACAGACTTTCACATTCCCTGGGGTCTCAATATATATTTTCTAAATGGAATTGAACTTGCAGCTATTAGTAACAGAAGAGAAATTGAAAAGCCCAGAGCCTGGAGTTACAGAGTATGTTCCTCAAGGCACTGGCATGGGGAATCTCCACCAACCTCAAGGCTCCTGTATCACCCGCAGCTAAGGGGCAGTCGGCTAGTTTACCATTCATTCCTCCGACATGTGGGAAGCACTAGAAGATACTGTGCCTGCCTGAGGGAAGGAACACTTTTTACTAACTCTCATCAAAGCAGCCACATATTTTTTCAACTTTTCACCCCCAAAGCCCTGAAGGTACTCAGACCCTAGCCCACCCACCTTTATTACAGTTTCCAAGGATAGTGTCCAGGAATCTACTTGATCAACAAACTTCCAAGTGGCTTTTACATATCATAAGTTTTGAGGCCCACCAAACTATGGATATAAGCACAAACATAAAGTCCCAGAAGACTCTTAGAAACATCATTAATGAGATGTCTGGGAAGTTGTTTTTCCCTTCCCCTCCTGCTAACTTTTTATCTTGGATGACTGAGGTTAAAGACGACAACTGCATTTTTTTTAAAGGTTTTATTTATTTTTGTTTTATGTGTATATATGTTTTGCCTGCATGTATGAGTGCACCACATTGTGCCTGATGTCCAGGGAGGGGAGAAAAAGCTGATCTTCTGGGCAAGGCCAGGCAGGGCATCCTTTCCCACAGCTGTAGCTAACGATAACCTTCAGCAGAGAGGAACTTGTCACAGTATTAGAAACCTCCTAGGGCCCCCACTCTTCTTGGGTTCCCGGAAGCACCTTGGCCTCCATAATTTCCTACATTTGAAAGAGGAAGTTAGCTGGAAATAGAACTCAGTGGGAGAACACTTGCCTAACATGCATGAGACCTTAGGTTAGCAAGAGAGAGAAAGAAATAATGAAGTCCATCGTGAAAGACACATTGAATAAGATATTTTATTTGTAATTTGATTTTGTCCGTGTTGGAAATAAAAACAGCTTACAAATACCAAAAGGACTGAAAATAATTTACATGTGGGTGGGGTACATCATACATATTTCCAAATTTCTCCTAGGATAAGAAATGAAAAATATGAGTTTTTAATATGATTATTATTAAAATCTTTTTTAAAAAAATATTTTATTATTTTTATTTTATGTGTATGCGTGTATTATTGCCTGCATGTAGGTAAGTGCATCTGTGTCATGCAATGCCCGCAGAGGTCAGAAGAGGCTGTCAGATTCCCCTGGAATTGGAGTTTTGGATGGCTGTTAGTCAGTCAGGGTCTCCCTATAGCTCCAAATGGCCTGGAATTAACTATGTAGACCAGGCTGGCCTCAAACTCACAAAGATCCGCCTGCCGCT